CTACTAATTTTTATATCTTCTATATAATACTGTAGTCCAAATTTATTCGGCAACTAGGCAACCTTCTGGCTTCGAACCCACTTCTATATGGCTCTTATAATGCTTCCTAAGACTTTCTAAGCCTCCTCAGACTTCTAAGACTCACCTAAGACTCTTTCGCGAATGCTAAAGCTCCAATGTATATAATCATTCTTAATCTGCATATCGCGTTCTCGTCTTGAGTCGGTTGGAATGAAATGCCATTCTGGCCCCAAAGATTCCCCAAGAGGATTTTAGTGAAAGGCCTAATAAAGCCCCGACACCACACTCACTCGATCATTCATGCAAAGTTCACTTCTGTATCAGCCCTGCTACAGGGTATTGCAGTTTGAATAACCAGTAGCTATTAAAATTGCATTTCGCACCAAAGTGCAATTTAAATGAAATTCCTATACGCTAAATATCTTACAGCTATTTTTATTCCACTCATTTTACAACATTCCATACTTTTTTTCCAAAAGAGGAGACACGTATCTGAAAAATATGCTTAAATAAAATAAATTTCAAAATTTATCTCACAATTCCAGGTTTTTTTTTTAAAAAAAAGTACAATGTTTTGAAAAAAATAGAGTTGATAAATTTAAAATGAAATGTTAAAAAACGATCTGTTTGCACCTGTCCTTCTTACACTTTTCATCTTAAACAGTCAAGTCCTTTAGCTTACTCCGTGACAAAAAAAAATACATTTGAATTTTTAGAAGTCTAACAAACCAATAAAAGCCGAACACCGGTTTTCTTGTTGAAAAATAATACCTTGTGATCAAAAATAATTCTCTTAATGTTATTCTTTCTGCGAGAAGACTTCTTTTTATTACTTTCAGGTGCAGTTTTTAACAGAATTTCATTTTTGTTTCAGAAGGCTTCGATTGCCAGTTTTTATGTCGTTTCTCTTTTTGACTTTTAACGAAGTCACGTTTTTGGTTTGGGAGGTTCTTTTTCTTAACACTGAAGTTGTCATTTTTACTGCAGCGTTTGGAGTTAAATCGAATGTTCCTCACTCCCATTGTAGTTTTGTGTTCATTCCAAACTGTCGCCGGTAGGCTATTAAAAACAAGAAAGGCAGAAATTAATGTTCGAATTACAATGGAGTTGACCACGATCCTTTTGATTATTTATTCTAAAAAACCCAGGTCATGTCGTGAATAATATATTTTGGAATTCTTAATTTTAGCATAAAGCAAATAAGTGGTTTTTTTACATCTTATAAGATACAATCTGTTTGCTCAAATTTATTATTATTATTATTATGAGTAGGAAGATAAAAACAGTTTAATAAAAGTATATTTAATCACCGTAATTTTTACCCTCAACATTCGAAAATACGCCTACGGCTGGAATACAGTTTTGAACTATGTCACATACGAGTATATTAGTCAATTATAAATAAATGGTCAGTTACTTTTCTTTTGTTCTTTGTTTGTAGTAGCAAATTACAATAAATCAAAATTTAATAAAATCTAGTAAAATATTTGATGGTCAATAAATAAATATTTCTATAAATATTTCTCAATTAGTAGCCTAGTGCAGTGCTTCCAAACCTTTCCATAGCCTCGAACCGGTGAGGGTTTGATAATTTTACCACGGCCCACTGAGGGGAAAGAAGACGCCCATTGTTTAGATTTTAGATTGTTTTAATTTAATAACTTTAATATATATATAAATATATATATATATACATATATATATATATATATATAATTGCATTTAAATATGCCTTCTGAATAAAATACAGTTACACCAAAAAATGAATATCGAAAGAATGTCGTTTATCCGAATCAATTGGGAACGGACACCGCTCGGATACACGATTGTTCGGATAACCGAAAACCGAATGCGATCCAAGCAGTATATGAAACCGGACAGTATACGAGTATAGAAACTCATCACATGCGGGAAACGCGCTTGAAGCAAAAGCAAAATAGGTGAAAAATGTCGCAATTTTACCTTTATTGTGGAAAATAATCACTTATTTTTCGCTGTACTAATGTACACCTTCGTTTTTTCACTGCAAGGTCTCTAATTCTCTTGAGCAGCAGTAGGTCCGGATATTTGACGCTCTGAATAATAAACGTTCGGATAAACGACGTTCTACTGCAAAGGGATTTAACATGAAATGTGTAAAGGGATTTCCATAAAAAGTCGTACAAGCTCGAAAGAAATACACCACTGTAAGTAAAATAGAAATAATTTAATGTTCCTTGCACGGCCCGGTACAATAAGAAAATTATTAAAAGTTTTGGACAAACTTCTCTTCTTCAAACTTCTCAAACTCAAAAATCTGAGATCTTTTTAAACTTTCAATGGTTTATTCCAGTGGTCTTCAAACTGTGTTCCACGGAACCCTTGAGTTCCGCAAGGCCAGGTGTTAACAAGGGGTTCCACGAGTCACAAAAAATGAAAATGAAATTTTTTAATGTGTTAGCAAAATGTGAATTCACGTACTCTTTGAAGTTTGTATCATTGCACAGTCGTTATAAAACTGAAAGTTTTATTTGCACTTAATAGCTTTATTTTGTAATGCTTTTTTCATCTTTTATTATAGTATAATGAAAGAATACACATTAAAACGTTCTCTTTTCTCTTTATATCTGTTACCAACTAGATTGTGTCTATCGTTAACTATCTCGGACTCCCCGAAATGATTTTACACTCTTTAGTATAATGTTTTTCAAAACTAAATAGTTTCGAATGGAAAATAAACCCTTTTTCATTTATGGTAAAAACACCTATATAGAAGAAGTGGGCACAATTTACCGAAATATCAACATATTTTACGTTTAAATATAGATTTTATCAAGAACAGCTCCTAAATTTTAGGTTACAAATTCATGCAAAATACACAGGATTTCTAACATACATATAAAAAATTTAATGCCATTCCGAACAAAGTATTCAAGTGATAAATATTTTTCAATGTGAGTAACCACACAAAAAAATTATAATAAAAAAATTAAATGAAGAATATATGAAATGTGACTGCAGATAGTTTCAGTAGTCCAGCACACATTCCATTACAAAATAACAGGTGGGCTGAAAAGTTCGTTGGCTGACACATAGATGGCGCTAATAATATCAAATCCATAAGATTTTTAGTTAGCCCTAACCTTCAAAAGACGCATGTATAAATTTGACAGCTGTTGCATTATTAGTATCCGAGTTATTGCATTTTTAGTGAAAGAACTTTTGTTACTTTGAAAAAATGGATAAAAAGGAATTTCGTGTGTTAATAAAGCATTGCTTTTTGGCGAAAAAAATACTGTTGAAACCAAGGCTTGGCTTGATAAACATTATTCGGACTTTGCACCAGGAAAATCAACCGTAGAGAAGTGGTTCGCTAAATTTAAACGAGGCGAAATGAGCACCTAGGACGATGCACGCGGTGGACACCCCAAAGAGGCTGTTACCGACGAAAACATCAAAAAAGTCCACAAAATAATTTTTGATAACCGTAAAGTGAAGTTGATTGAGATATAGCTGAGACCCTAAAGATATCAAAGGAACGTGTTGGTCATATCGTGAATGAATATTTGGATATGCGAAAGCTCTGTTCAAAGTGGGTGCCGCGCGAGCTCACAATCGACCCAAAACAACAACGAATCGATGATTCTAAGCAGTGTTTGGAGCTGTTCAATCGTAATAAATCTGAATTTTTGCGTCGATAAGTGACGATGGATGAAACATGGCTCCATCATTTCGCACCGAAGTCCAATTGACAGTCTCAGCCGTGTGGACTGCACGTGATGAACAAACTCCAAAGTGTGGAAAGACGCAAAAGTCGGCTGGCAAGGTTATGGCATCAGTATTCTGGGATACTCATGTTATAAATTTTATTGACTATCTTAAAAAGGGAAAACCATACACAGCGACTATTGCGTAGCGTTAATGGAGCGTTTAAAAGACGAAATCGTGGGAAAGCGGCCTCATTTGAAGAAAAAGAAAGTGCTGTTTCATCAAGACAATGCACCGTGTCACAAATCAATGAAATCGATGACAAAATTGCATGAATTGGGCTTCGAACTGCTTCTGCATCCACTGTACAATCCAGATCTGGCCCCCAGCGACTTTTTTCTGTTCTCAGACCTCAAGGGGATGCTCGCTGGACAGAAATTTTGCGCCGATGAAGAGGTAATCGCCGAAACTGAAGCCTATTTTAAGGCTGAAGACAAATCATATTATAAAAATGGTATCGAAAAATTGTATGGCCGCTATAATCGTTGTATCGCCCTCGAAGAGAACTATATTGAATAATAAAATCAAATTCTATCCAAAAAAATTTTTTTTTCTATGCTAGCCTACGAGTTTTTCAGCCCATCTGGTAGAATGCATGGTTAGGTGACATTTGGGATCATGAATTAATATTAGTAATTATATTAAAATCACATTAAAATATATTCAATATACACACACACACAGTACTTTTATTTACTTTTCTTTATATAGAGTATCTCCATAACATTATGGGATCTACTTTAAATATATTATTAAATTTATTTAAGGGATTGCAATACCGGGATACCGAATACCGGTATTTTGAGCTATTTGCACAATTTTGTAATATCGGTATTCACAAGTTTAAGTACCGGTTTTTCGGTATATATTTACTAGAAATTTTGAAAATCGTCACCACAATGATCGCCAAAATAGCATACGTTTTCGTTTTTATGTCACTTTAAATGTCACTTTTTTTATGTCACTAAAAATTAAATCAATTCCTACTTAGGTCAATAAAGAAAATTTTTATTTTAGTTACTTTTTATTAAATAATTGCAATTAATATAAATAGGTATATACATATGACAGAATCACAATATTAAGTGACGAATTATAGAAAGCGATTTTCCTTTTTCCTTTCTATATAGGGTGTTGGACTATTTTTTTGGTATTGTTCATTCATAAATTGAATTTAATTATTCTAATAAAATAGTATGGTAAAAAAGAAATCACATTCTATGAAATTAAGCCATCCCAGGTATGATTCGTACACACGATCTACGGATTAGAAGTCCAACGCGCTTTCTATTGCTCTACAGGGACACAACGAACGATTTTACTTTCTATATATGCTGTTGGACTATTATTTTTGTTTGTTACTATTTATTCATTTTTTTAATTTAATGAATGAATTAATATTTGAAAACTGTATTAACATCAAGTGTCATTCACTACAAGTTTTAAAAATGTATTTGAGCTTGAATGGATGAATAGAAAGTATTTTATTAACGATTGAATATTTGAACGAGATAAATATATATATATATATATATATATATATAGGGAGAGAGTGAACTAATAGTAGGAATTAAAAATATATCTTTATTTTCAATATTATAATAAATTGATTTAGAGGTATAAAATGCAAATTTTTTTTTTGTTAATACAAGTTTTTCTCGTTTTATTTTTTAGATTTTTTTGTCCATTTGTGTGTTTGTTTATAAATATTTTAATTATCTGTCATTTACAAAAGCGTAAATGTAAAATAATCTATCTTTCTTTAAATATATTTGAAAAGAAAATGTTTTCTACAACCAATAAGATACATAGTTAACTAGCACCTTCCTTATTGTGCAACTGTTGGGAATATGACAAGCTTAAATATTCCGGATTTTGTGGTCCAACTTTCTTCTAGGCACTTTATATACTTTCAATGGGTCCCCTCCCATATTGGACTGAATGGTAACGAGATAGCCGATAGTTTGGCCAAGTCTGCCACCACCTTGCGGGTTATCACTTGTATAACTTTTGCCGAACTCTCCTTCATTAAAAGAATAGATTCAAATGAACTTTAGAGAATACCCCCTGCTCACCCTATGACAAATCTATACGGAACTTTATCACTAACCTTCTGAGACGTCTTTTTTAGGGAAATTTAATTCCCTACCTATTTCCAATCGACTCCAAAAAGAGGACAGGGATTCCTTATTATATGCAGATTAGATAAAGTATTTAAGTCAAACGGAATAGTAAAGTGAGAGACAGTAGGAGAGAGAGATTGAAGCAGGAAGTTATAATAGTGAAGTTAGAGATTTATTATTGAAGATTTCTAGGTAGATAAATTAGGCTCAGCAAGAGCTGAGATTCAGTGTGGTAAATATTGATTTATAATTTAGGTCTCATTAAAGTTTTATATTAGGAGTGAGATTAAAGTTAAATGTTCAGTAGAAACATTATTGAATATAATTCTGGGATCTCTTATTGCGGTAATCTCTGCGTGATCGATATTCTAATTGTTAATTAATTGGATCATTAAATATTTAAGTTAATATAAAGGAAAGTCCCTTTTAAACCTCATAAAGCTATTTTGATTTATTTGTTATTAAAAGTCTTTGATTCTATTTGGGAAAGATAACCAAATAAAGAAAGTTATTTATAAAAATGGCTACTGGTTCTTTTTTGACTCAAAATTATTCTCATTCTCAAAGTGAGATCCAAGGGGATCTTCACAACCCTTGTAAATCCGGGAAAAGACTTCGTTGGTGTCACCAGTTCAATATTCCTAGGAATCAACAAACGGCTTTACCACGCGTTTTTAGTGGCCACATCAAATCTTTTACTTTTCAACAGAACCGAAAACTCTTTCCAGGGTGTCATTGGTGTAAGTCTGATCGGGCCTCCCCCAGTCATATTTTTAAATGCTTAAATTTCATTATTGATGAATTCTTAGGAAATCCTATTTTACTTTGGATATTTTGACAATTTTTTGTTTTATAGAGATGGTGTAGCTTAGCTACTTTATCTAGGATAAGAAGCAACTACTACAATGCCGAGTCTACTACAGGCGTTTTAAAAGTAAGTTTCGTTCTTCATTTTTTTAAAGGAAAATGGTACACCAGATAAGAAAAACCAAGCTCTATAAGAAGACACGTCCGTTGCTGTTTCAACGACTTATAAAGGGTGAGAGTCGAAGAAGAGAGAGCAGCAGTAGCCACCGAAGTATCTGGGTAGGGATTACAATACCGTAATACCGTGATACCGAATACCGGTATTTTGAGCGATTTGTACAATTTTGTAATTCCGGTATTCACAAGTTTAAATACCGGTTTTTCGGTATTTACTAGAAATTTTGAAAATCGTCTCCACTGCATGTACCAACATAGCAAAATAGTAGACGTTTTTGTTTTTATGTCACTTAAACGGGCGAAATTAATTAGACTGTGAATGTAAAGTTGTATCGTACAATTAAGAGAATTGATAAAATATGTGAAACATCCAAGGAGAGAGGCGGGACAAAACTATTCTAATACAGCTCAGAGCAATACTGCACACGCCCAGGATTCGTAGTCTGGTATTCGTATCTATGAAAACAAGGTTGTATTTGTTAAGGGGTGTTGGAAAGCTAAAATCTTATTTTTTTTGACAATTTGAGATTTTTACATTTTCAAATTGTATAGATTTTAACCTTTCTAAAATACCTTACTTTAACCTCTAGGGTATTTAGAAGCCCTTCAAATGTATTTTTAAATAATCGTTGAATTTGGGTCACGCCCATTTTAATGGCGAAAATTGTAAACAAATTACTTTGTTTTTGCTTAAAAGTGTAACGACTGATATAAACCAAAACATGCATCTTTTATTTTAAATTGAGCTTTTTATTTTTTATTTCCTAGCCGATTAGAAGTCTCTCTCTCTCTCTCTCACTGTATACATTAAAATCAATTTATCTCAAAATGTAAATTTTAATGTGCGATGTACCTTTTCTGAGAAACTACTGTTCACAGGTATGTAAATTTTTTATGAATTATTTATAATGATGTCTAATATATACTAAAATAAGATTTTTGTAAAAAACTCAAAAATTTAATTTTTACAAATTTTTTAAGCAAAAAATGGGTCAAATTTCGCAATGTTTGATAAAATATTTCATAATTTCTTAAAAAATTCAAAATTAGCTAAAAGCTCATTTCAGTATAATAAGAGAGATGTACTTTAATAGTATGAAAAATTTCAAGCATGTACATAAAACAGATTTTGAGAAAAGACACATCGAAAACAGCCAATTTAACATTGTCAGTATAGAGAGAGAGAGAGAGGTTTCCAACTCCCCTTAAGAAAGTGCGTAATATTTCGATATTTTTTAAATTGGTGAGTTTGTAATTCACATTGTATTTGCATAGCATACTTTAGGGTTCAAAATATTTTTCATATTTGTTATATATATTTATTCATAAATAATAACCCATAATAATAAATAAGAATAATTTTAAAGAACATAAATACGTTAGTTGATAATACTTCGGTTTGGTTTCATTATTTATATGATGAAAACCGCAGAACATAGACTGAATAGTGATATTTGCAATTTTTTTTTTTTTTTTTTTTTTGTGATTTAAATAAATAAGATTTTCCTTTACATTTTTGTGATTCTGTGTATACTGTTACAATTTATAAGTTACACATTTTTTGTGATATTTACACTCTAATATAAAACTGGCAAATAAAACAAAGAAACACACACACTTGTGTTTCCTTTCTTTTTCTAAAATTTCTAATACCGGTATTAAAACCGGTATCCCGGTATTAAGATCTAAAAATACCGAATACCGGCATTGAACTTTTGGTCCGATATTGCAATCTCTAGGTTCCACGTGCCAAAAAAGTTTGAATACCCCTGTGGTTTATTTAAATAAAAATATTTAAAAAATCTCATTAAAATTTTTTGCTGTTAAAATCCTTATCTAACTTCACATTGCAGGAGATCAATGGCCAAAAATGTAATTAACGGATTTTCTGCACGGGCATCATTGCGATGTGTGATTTTATGAGATTAAAGTAAAAGTTATTTCAACCATCATTAATCTCTGATGACATCCGACTTTCAGCACTTTGATCTTATCCTTATTTACTTATGAGATGCTACATTAACCATTTGTCATTTGAGTCTTCAAAGTATCTCTGGAATGCCCCAAAAGGACATTAATCGACCCTATTCTAAAGAAATTTTTTATACGATCTATCATACAAAAAAGTGGGAATGTTTATTTAGAACACTTTTCTCTACTATGCATCTGAAGAAAGATAATTTTTTTCCCCAAGTAGATATTGATGAAAGATAAATTTGGACGAAGGAAAACAATTTTAGATGAGCTTTGTGAAAGGTAATTAAAAGAGTCATCCATATTTTCTATAATTATAAAGTTCCTTACCTTTTTGGTACCCAATTAGCGTACTGCTAAATAATAAAGATCATACCTCTTTCGAAAAATTCCACTTTTGTCCGGTTTTTATTCTAGCCTGAAGTACAATGCAACACAGTGAAAAACATGAAATTACAAAACCAAATTTATTGGACAGTAAAATAAAGTACAAGATTCAAATATTTGATATAATTGCATTGCTCGCCTTGCAGAACGCGAGGAAATTAGTATATTGTGTAGCCCTGGCGCAGCTAGCTCTCAGGGGGCCCTGTATCAAAATTCCTTCGGGGTCCTTTTTCAGATATGGGAGCCTGTTAGTGGGACTGTAATTACACTTGTTGGGGTCCCTGTAGCTTGGAGGCCCCGTATCATTGATACGGTGGTAGCTACATCCCTGTTGTGTAGCTATCATGATTGGTAATAAATGCTGCGACACCTCGGCTTTGAAAGAAATGTGTTTTGCATATTCTCAGGGGGGCCATCAAACCATGTTGATTTTACACGTTGCTGAAGTTCATCTCGCGTAGCGTGGAGTAATAACTAAAATTTGCCACGTGTTCGATTGGTGGTAGGTCAGAAGAACGGGAAGACCAAAGCAGCAGTGCAACCTGGTGGGCAACGGGAATATGTTAAGTATTGTATGCCACACAGGGATGTCTCAAGGTATTGGCCATCTGGGCCCGGGCCCAGAGTCTCGGCCAAAATGGGGCCTCGCATCGTTCTCGACTTAGCCTTAATAAGATCATACTTCAAATAACTTCAACGGTTAAATGTTATTTCCGGTTCTATTTTCCGAAAAACTGGACTACATGTCAACTGGCTACATGTGATCACCGTCGTCTATGCGTAGGCCTACCACCATACACCATTATCACTGATTCAGTCAAAAGGCGGCAGTCGGAC